GTTGGCCTAGTCCGATTGAGACTAACAATTTTTTTAATATCGTTTTGGATAAAAGCAAGGGTTGCGGCAATTATAGTTGTTAAGGCACCAAGGAATAAGCAAGTGGTTAGGGCAGTGTTGTTATTTGAGATAGAGGGAAATACTTGGATCAATAAGAAGATGCCGGCAACAACTATAGTACTTGAGTGTAATAGGGCTGAAACTGGCGTGGGGCCTTCTATAGCAGAGGCAAGTCATGGGTGTATACCAAATTGAGCTGATTTGCTTGCAGCCGCAAGGATGAATCCTAACAGAATGGCTGTGGGTAAAGAATTAGATGTATAATAGGGCAAACTTGAGGATTGCATGCGGGTGATTAATCAACAAAGGGCAAGCATAAAGCCAATGTCACCCAAGCGGTTATAGATTGCTGCTTGTAATGCCGCTGATGCTACGTCACTTCGAGAATAATACCAGCCGATTAGTATGAAAGACATAAGCCCCACTCTTCTCACCCAATAAATAGTAAAAGAAGGTTTTCGGCATAAATTAGAAGAAGCATTGATAGAAGGAAAGTAATTAGTATTTTAAAGAATAGGTTAATATTTGGGTCTGTTTTCATATACCACAAGGAAAACTCCAAAATGCTTCATGTAACGAAAAGTGCGATAGGGGTGAAGAAAATGGCGTATTTTCCTATATAGAGTGTTATTGAAAATTCTAAAAGTGTTAGGTTGATAAAGATAGGGTACGAATAATTATATTTTCCTGAATTAACAAATAGGGCAAAGGTTATTAAAGAGATTAAGAAAGCTCATTTTACAGAGTCTTTAGCAGTTGTTGGATATTCATTATCTTGGCTCATGAAGGGAAGTAGTAGTACTAGCAAGGCCAAGAATTGAACTGCAAAATACATGTCGTTCACAGAACTAGCCGGGGATTAGCCCGGTAGGAGAGATTAGCAATCTCTTCTTCTAAAGGTCTAGCTCATGATGTTGAGGTAATAGGGTGTATGCTTAGCGTTTCCCCTAGTAAATTAATTTATATATATATATATACATATAAATGGGGGGTATGCTTAGCGTTTCCCCTAGTAAATTAATTTATATATATATACATACATATAAATGGGGGGTATGCTTAGCGTTTCCCCTAGTAAATTAATTTATATATATATATAGATACATATAAATGGGGGGTATGCTTAGCGTTTCCCCTAGTAAATTAATTTATATATATATATATACATATAAATGGGGGGTATGCTTAGCGTTTCCCCTAGAAAATTAATTTATATATATATATACATATAAATGGGGGGGGTATGCTTAGCGTTTCCCCTAGAAAATTAATTTATATATATATATACATATAAATGGGGGGTATGCTTAGCGTTTCCCCTAGAAAATTAATTTATATATATATACATACATATAAATGGGGGGTATGCTTAGCGTTTCCCCTAGTAAATTAATTTATATATATATACATACATATAAATGGGGGGTATGCTTAGCGTTTCCCCTAGAAAATTAATTTATATATATATATACATACATATAAATGGGGGGTATGCTTAGCGTTTCCCCTAGTAAAATTTAATTATATATATATAAATATGCTTAGCGTTTCCCCTAGTAAATTAATTTATATATATATACATATATAAATGGGGGGTATGCTTAGCGTTTCCCCTAGTAAATTAATTTATATATATATAGATACATATAAATGGGGGGTATGCTTAGCGTTTCCCCTAGTAAATTAATTTATATATATATATATACATATAAATGGGGGGGTATGCTTAGCGTTTCCCCTAGAAAATTAATTTATATATATATACATACATATAAATGGGGGGTATGCTTAGCGTTTCCCCTAGAAAATTAATTTATATATATATACATACATATAAATGGGGGGTATGCTTAGCGTTTCCCCTAGAAAATTAATTTTTATATATATATATACATATAAAAATGGGGGTATGCTTAGCGTTTCCCCCCTAGAAAATTAATTTATATATATATATATATACATATAAATGGGGGGTATGCTTAGCGTTTCCCCTAGAAAATTAATTTATATATATATACATACATATAAATGGGGGGTATGCTTAGCGTTTTCCCCTAGTAAATTTAATTTATATATATATATACATACATATAAATGGGGGGTATGCTTAGCGTTTCCCCTAGTAAATTAATTTATATATATATATATATAAATATATTCCCCTAGTAAATATAATATATATATATACATATAAATGGGGGTATGCTTAGCGTTTCCCCTAGAAAAATAATTTATATATATATATACATATAAATGGGGGGTATGCTTAGCGTTTCCCCTAGAAAATTAAAATATAATACATAATATGGGGGGTATGCTTATACCCTAGAAAATTAATTTATATATATATAATATATAAATGGGGGGTTAGCGTTTTCCCCTAGAAAATTAATTTATATATATATACATATATAATGGGGGGTATGCTTAGCGTTTCCCCTAGAAAATTAATTTATATATATATATATATATATAAATGGGGGGGCTTAGCTTAGCGTTTCCCCTAGAAAAATTAATTTATATATATATATATACATATAAATAAATGGGGGGTATGCTTAGCGTTTCCCCTAGAAAATTAATTTATATATATATATATATATATATAATATAAATGGGGGGGGTATGCTTAGCGTTTCCCCTAGAAAATTAATTTATATATATATATACATACATATAAATGGGGGGTATGCTTAGCGTTTCCCCCTAGAAAATTAATTTATATATATATACATACATATATAAATGGGGGGTATGCTTAGCGTTTCCCCTAGAAAATTAATTTATATATATACATATATATAAAATGGGGGGTATGCTTAGCGTTTCCCCTAGAAAATTAATTTATATATATATACATATAAATGGGGGGGGTATGCTTAGCGTTTCCCCTAGTAAAATAAATTTATATATATATATATACATATAAATATAAATGGTATGCTTAGCGTTTCCCCTAGAAAATTAATTTATATATATATATACATATAAAAATGGGGGGTATGCTTAGCGTTTCCCCTAGTAAATTAATTTATATATATACATACATATATATAAATGGGGGGTATGCTTAGCGTTTCCCCTAGTAAAAATTTAAATTTATATATATATATACATATATAATAAATGGGGGGGTATGCTTAGCGTTTCCCCTAGAAAATTAATTTATATATATATATACATATATATAAAATGGGGGGTATGCTTAGCGTTTCCCCTAGAAAATTAATTTATATATATATATATACATACAATATAATATAATATATACATATAAAAATGGGGGGTATGCTTAGCGTTTCCCCCCTAGTAAAATTAATTTATATATATATATATACATATAAATGGGGGGGGGGGCTAGCTTAGCGTTTCCCCTAGTAAAATTAATTTATATATATATATATACATACATATAAATGGGGGGGTATGCTTAGCGTTTCCCCTAGTAAATTAATTTATATATATATATATATACATATAAAAATGGGGGGTATGCTTAGCGTTTCCCCTAGAAAATTAATTAATTATATATATATATACATACATATAAATGGGGGGGTATGCTTAGCGTTTCCCCTAGTAAATTAATTTATATATATATATACATATATATGGGGGGGGGGTATGCTTAGCGTTTCCCCTAGTAAATTAATTTATATATATATATATATACATATATAAATGGGGGGGGGGTATGCTTAGCGTTTCCCCTAGAAAATTAATTTATATATATACATACATATAAATGGGGGGTATACATTAGCGTTTCCCCCCTAGAAAATTAATTTATATATATATACATATAAATAAAAATGGGGGGTATGCTTAGCGTTTCCCCTAGTAAATTAATTTATATATATATATATACATACATATAAATGGGGGGTATGCTTAGCGTTTCCCCCCCTAAAAATTAATTTATATATATATATACATACATATAAAAATGGGGGGTATGCTTAGCGTTTCCCCTAGTAAAATTAATTTATATATATATATATACATACATATAAATGGGGGGGGGGGGCTTAGCGTTTAGCCCCCTAGAAAATTAATTTATATATATATATATATATATATACATATAATATACATATAAATGGGGGGTATGCTTAGCGTTTCCCCTAGAAAATTAATTTATATATATATATACATATAAAATGGGGGGTATGCTTAGCGTTTCCCCTAGAAAATTAATTTATATATATATACATATAAATGGGGGGTATGCTTAGCGTTTCCCCTAGAAAAATTTATATATATATATATATATATATAGCGTTTCCCCTATATAATATATATATATATATACATATAAATGGGGGGGGTATGCTTAGCGTTTCCCCTAGAAAATTAATTTATATATATAAATATATATTAATATATATATACATATAAATGGGGGGTATGCTTAGCGTTTCCCCTAGAAAATTAATTTATATATATATATACATATATATAAATGGGGGGTATGCTTAGCGTTTCCCCTAGAAAAATTAATTTATATATATATACATATAAATGGGGGGTATGCTTAGCGTTTCCCCTAGAAAAATTAATTTATATATATATACATATATAATGGGGGGGTATGCTTAGCGTTTCCCCTAGAAAATTAATTTATATATATATATTACATACATATAAATGGGGGGTATGCTTAGCGTTTCCCCCCCCTAGAAAATTAATTTATATATATATATATATATAAATGGGGGGGTATGCTTAGCGTTTCCCCCCTAGAAAATTAATTTATATATATATATACATATAAATGGGGGGGGTATGCTTAGCGTTTCCCCTAGAAAATTAATTTATATATATATATATATATATACATATAAATGGGGGGTATGCTTAGCGTTTCCCCTAGAAAATTAATTTATATATATATATATATATACATACAAATATAAATGGGGGGTATGGGGGTATGCTTAGCGTTTCCCCTAGAAAATTAATTTATATATATATAGCATACCCTATAAATTATATATATATATACATACATATAAATGGGGGGTATGCTTAGCGTTTCCCCTAGTAAATTAATTTATATATATATATACATACATATAAATGGGGGGTATGCTTAGCGTTTCCCCTAGAAAATAAATTTATATATATATATACATACATAAATGGGGGGGGGGCTTAGCGTTTCCCCTAGAAAAAAT